TCTCTCGGTTTTCAACAACGTGCCGAAGCAAAAAACGGACGTTTTGATTTTATAGTTAGGTGGTGAAGAGCAATCATTTCTGATCAAAGCAAAATAAACCCGACGGAAAAAGCTTTTGTTTTGATGAAGTTATAGGACTTTTACTGAAAGTAGCATCATACCCAGAACTGACGCACCGGATAGAAACTTCCATAATTCTATAGCTTATAATCAACCTATGGATTACCAGTTATACCCGTTAATCCCGTTTTCGATGAGCTTTTATTTGGTATGTAATTCATTTTTATATCATTTGTCGTTGGAGCTGTACCCCCCCTGGCAAAAGGTTATGCATCACCCTGTACATGAAAATGTTTTTGTACACGGTTTTTGAAGAACGAGGTTAACCTATATCCTATTGTTTGATTATTAAATTTCTTTTATCAGCAAAAATATAGCATGTAGCTATTTACAAATAAAAAGCCTCTTCTAGTATTCCCACCAAAGTTATGATTGACTTAATGCTTTTCGTGCCTTTTTTGGACGTCCACGCCTTTTTCCTTGACATGACTTTTGTCAGAAAAAATAAGAACTGTGTGGGTTGAATTAATTCTCAAAGAGATGAACTTCACTCTACACCGATTTTCAAAATTTCTCATACATTTCAGTCAATAAGTCACATTTGTATTAAACGAGACGTCTGTTCATAGATCATCTTATTTGTTTAGGTCATTTGCATGTAAAACGAAGATATCTTTTACTCGTTGAACAACCGTGCACAACAACATCGAAAAAAAAGCTCTAGCTCAACTACTGGTGATAATGAGGAGTATCAATCAATCGAATTTTTCAAGAACTACAAAATCTCTGTCTTCTCTGTTTGTTTATCTCAAAATACGAAGAGCTAATATTGAAAAAACTTTGTTTTGAATTAGGAAATTGTCAAGATCGAAGCTTTACAGTATCTCCTCTATATTTTATTATTTTTACAGTATATAGACAAATGTTCGATATGCGTTTTAATGAAATGGCGAATCTTTTAAAGAAAAGCTTAAGTCTAAAAAACAAAAAGATTATTTTGACATTTATTCTGTTACAACAATATATTGGCCTCTTGCAGTTAAGCCATGGTCTGCGTGGTAAGAGGCCAATATCACCCTTTTTGAATTCAAAAGTTATGAAGAGTTAGAGGTCAAGTGATTCGCTTAGGTGAGTCCGGGAAAAATCACCCCAAAAACTGTTAACTATATTGCTGAGAATCTTCTGATTTTGATTAATTGATGATTTTAATCGCTGTTCTGACTAAGGTTCAACCAAAAAACTGTCTCTATTAAAAGACAACAAAAGTCAAAGTGTTTCAACAAATAGCGAGAAGTAGTTAAACAGGTAGTCCGTCACGTTAAGCTTCTATTGAGAATACTGTTCGACACGAAAAATGATAGCAAGAGACTTCCACTTCTCACCACTTGGTAGGGGAGACTTAACTGCATCTGTCTATGAGAAAACAAAATTTGTACCACCATCTGCAGGTAGTGCTGTATCTTGCCCATCTTTAAGGGTACCCCCTCTATTTTGACCCTCCTTGAAACCGGGAAAGTCGGTGTCGGATCGGGTTGAAATTTATACCAGAGACAGAACATCGAAAAAGAAAATCTATGTATTTTTGCCCAGAATTTTCTGACGCGTTCTTCTATGGGTATTCTGAAAAACTCCGGTTTTCATCTAATTATATTACAAAAAATTTTATCGATAATAAATATTATTTCAACTACTAATGTGATAAGATTTTAAATAATATATGTATGATTTACGTCCTTCCCCGCCTCCTCCTATAATGGTCACTTCAGTGTCAATTTTATGTCTTACCATCTTCTATCCGCCTATCTCTTGTGAAACTTTCGAAACGCACTTAATTCACTACTAGACATTTTCGTCGATATGTATCACACTGCACGTCTACAAGATGTTTATTGCCTGTCGGTATAAAACGAATTTTTAATTTTTTCAATTTTTTCGAATTTATCGAATTTGTAAATCATGTATTCCAGAGACAGAGCAATGAAACAAAATATTTTTTTTACTAATCGATAGCTTATGGAATTATCTTGCTCTAAAAAGCAATCCATTTTTATCACATGCTTCATTATCTTTTTATAACAATTCTACGAATGGGTCATGGGTGACCTCTTGGCAGGTAAAGGATTAAAGACGAAGTTTCACACAAAAATTTTCGAGTTTTCTCGTTGGGAGGTGGGTTAGAACCATAGATCTTTGTCCTAAATACCACTGAAAATCTGATGTCTCCAATTTTTGCCGTTCAGATGCCGAACCGATTTCCGTAAAAGCTTTAGTTGGTATAAAATGATCTCTAGTAACCTCAAAAATAGACGGAAACATAGGTTTTCTATCATGCTGCGTTTATTTCATGATAGAACATTTTCTATGTACGATGACGGTACTGAAGGATCACCATATTCAACAGTCATTTTTTTATTCATTTAACCTTGAACCGACAGCAGTGACTTAGTTCATCCAAATTTATAATCCTAAGTGCACGCAGAAGCAGAACTGAACCATGATGACAAAGAATTGAATATGAAAAACAAATAGTTTCATGTATCCTACTGAAATTAAGCAGAATTGAATCTCTTAATGTAGAATTCCTAGTGCGGAGAATTTGGTAGTATGAGAGTGATTTCCTAATAAAACATAATACAACCGAAGCGATGTGTCTTTACCAACAATCATGTCAACATGGTAAAACACCCTGTTTTTCATACTCAATTCTTTAGAACAGGTTCACCTGCTCTCGTAATAATCAAAGCGATTCCCTTATTTTCACCTTGTATATTGTTACACGAACAAGTTGAATGCCGATAACTGTACCGCTACTGAACGGTAAATCGGTAAAGTATCGTTACCGTTGCATGCCTAGTTATGATTATAATGATGACAATTCTTTTCATGACTATACAAAGTTCTTTTAATTTTAACCGCACTTTTCTTCGGTTTATTTCGGGACAAAGATGACGGCAGGCAAGAATAATTTTTTTCGAGTAATTGACAAAATGTTAGACAACGAGAAACTTCGTATTAATTTAAGATCTATTTTTCATTTATAATAAAATAACGTACAAAATGATGGGCAGTGTCTGCTTTTCATTCTGCTTACTTTACAACTTCATTACATAAAAAACGCGGATAATGCTGTTTGACGAAGACGAACAGTGATGAGGCGCTTGTTAAAGTATGACGACATGTACTGAAATACAGGATCACTCTGGCAATTGAACAATACGATAAAATGAACGTGCACGTTCAGCTTTTCACCTCAATATAAGAGGTTAATAACCTCTATTTAATATCTCAAAGTACAAATGATTATGATTTAAATAAATCTAATTTTGAATATCTGTCATAGAATAATTGCCGCAAAAACAAGTGGCTCGTATAACTATATGTTTTTTTGATGATATTTGATACCTACATGCATATTTGCCTAATAAATAAACGATCAAGAGTTTGATATTCTAGAAAAATCATACAAATACTTATATTACCTTTAATCTGTGTCAAAAATCATTTTAATAACGTAAATATATAGTCTGGAGATCAAATGACTTTCATCACTGTATAAAAGCAGATGTTTGTTGAGACACCTTCTACTTTGTGAAAATCAAGACTATAAATAAATTAAATTATAAAGGGATACTTTCGATTCTAAAACGTTTACAAACACGTGTAGAAACTTATCGTTCATAATGTTCAACTTATTAAGGTTACTTTCTAAGATAAAATAATATCCAACGCTTGGATTAATTAAGTACTGAAACCATTTTGTCTAGTCGGATATAATATCTCACTCAGTTTTGAAACCTGTTGAATGGCGCATTTCTTTTTAATCAGTTTAATAGTTTTATTAACTGATGATAATGCTATTGAAACAGCATTAGTCAAATATGACTTTATCATCAGATCGATTCCTGGTATCCCGGATGGATATCCAAAAGTGGTTATTTCAATGCACAATGCTGACAGTTCATGGGATATCAATCGACCATTTCCTGGTCCTCTCATTCGTGCCACACTTGGTGATACTCTTGAAATTCGAATAAAAAATTTAATGAAAGAACAATCAACAACAATTCATTTTCACGGTCTTCATATGTTTGAAAATCCGTGGATGGACGGCACAGAAATGATAACACAATGTCCTGTCCATCCCCATGAAACATTTACACACATATTTAATGTGACACAAGCCGGCACATTCTGGTATCATTCGCACAATGGTCAACAATATTCGGATGGTTTAATTGGACCAATAATTATTGATCGTGATTCTATTGAACAGCGATATTCTTACGGATCAAACGATCACGTGATTATACTTCAAGAATGGTATCATGAGTCATGGGCAGATATAATGACAGCTTATCAAGGACCCTACGCCGCATATAACGGTTGTACTCCAATATACCCGTGGCCACCAACAGCTTTGCTTCTCAACGGGCACGGACGTTTTGATTGTCGCACAACTGATTGTAATGAACGCTTGATGTGGATGAATGAATGTAATGAATATGAACGTGTTCAATGTATTCCATTACGATCGCCCTTTTTCGGCACGTGTGATCCAAATGCTCATATTTCCGATGAATTTCTCTGTAATGGTACTCAGATGAGAATTCGTCTGATTAATGCTGCCAGCGGTATTCCGTTTCGATTTTGGATCGATCAGCATAATATCACAATTGTGGCGAGAGATAGTCTCGAGATTTTACCAATTACCGTGCAATATGTTACAATAGCAATTGGACAACGTTTGGATCTAATTGTGCAATGTAACCAAGATCCCACATTTAAATATGAAATATTTTCCACCATGCCACCCAATTTCATTGCAGGCCCAACACCACCCATTTGGGTTAGTGCATTGTTCGTTTATCCACAGTCAAACGAAACAAAAATACCAACAATGAGTCCTAATAATTCATTACATTTAATTTCTGACGATGTTCTGTTTGAATTTAAACATTTGAAACCTATCGCACCTAAACAATCTGAAAGAGCGATAAAACGTGTGAAACTATTTTTTTCCGTTATTTGGAGTAGCATGGCTGGTAATGCTTTAGAAGAATGGCAAGTAAATGGAATTACTTTTGAGAAACCCAAAGAACCATTATTACAAGCAAATTTTCTCGATGGTTCAGATAAACTGGCTCTCACCGATTCTCGTCCAGGACGGTTGAACAACGTTCATAAGACGTACATTGAATACTTTGAATATGGACAAGTTTATGAGATATTAATGATCAATGATGACCCCCAACAACATCCGTGGCATTTGCACGGGTACATACTTGATTTTATTGCAGCGGGAACATTAGAAAATTTAACGAATCGCTGTAATAAGTCATCCGTATTTGATATGAAAAAATATGACTTTGATTCAGTCTTACCATTACTAAATGATACACCGACTGTATTAACAAGCGGCGACTCGTTTACTGTGCCAAAAAAAGGCTACGTAGCATTTCGTTTCAAAGCTGATAATCCGGGCCCATGGTTTTTTCATTGTCACATGGACTGGCACATGTCACCAGGTTTAGCACTCGTCTTTTCAGTAGGAATTAATGGAACATACAAAGATCTTTTACAACCCCCTCCAAAAGATTTCTATGCATGCGGTTCGAGACAATTGTGGCCATCGCCAAAATCTTCTGCTGTAGTTCATTGTCAATCAATCATTAAGGCTGTTATATTCCTTATAATCTTCAAAACTGTGAATATGGCAGTATAATTCAGCTCCTAATAAAGTTCTTGGGACTCAATTATTTATTGATCATAAAAGGCAAGATGGTGAACAATTTTAACAATTATTCTTATTGTGTTTGGAGAATTACATCTATCAAACAGGCACAGAATGTTTTGGAGATATTACTGTATGCTAGATGTACACTTGGAAATTTAGTTTTACTGGGTGAAATTGTTTTGGATTATCCCTTCAAGTACTTGCAACCTTATATACAATATTCTCACCTTTAATACCTTAAGAAATACTCTGAAAAAGACTCCAAACGCATGTTTTATGAACATGTTGAGCTAGAAGTAAAGTACAAACGCGTTTAGTGGTGACTTAAAACGTAAAGCGAACTTAAATTCATTTTTTGAAATTAACTACTCTGTGATTTCACATACAGAATGTTTCAAAAGTCACTATCCAATAAAAATTTTTAATAACTCACCCATTTCTTAACCAAACTTTAACATTGTTTTTTTTTGTTTGAAGAGAAATGTTCCAAGTTTTATTTTATACGATCGGAATTTTTTGTGTCAAAAAAGATCAGTGCGAAAAAATAATAAAACTTACAACATACGTTTTCTGTGTAAGTACTTATACTAGTGCGTAAAGATTATTGAGCTTGTCGTAATTAAATGGAATCTTTGTCAGAGTCGCACAACGTCTCATTTTGTAGAACTCAGGTTGCTCTACAATCTCGCATATTCAAATGTTTGATTCAGCTTAAAGTTTTGCCACAAGAAGTTAATTATTCTATATTAGCATGATCTACGGATTGTGGCTTCTGCAATAACATCATACAACTTTTTACAGGCATTCAAACTATTCCAGTTTATAGGGCTACCTTCTTTGTAGAGAATTCCATTAGTAGTTTTTCCTTTCATTAGTTAACTGTATCTGAAAAAGATTTTTATTATATTTTTGCACCTTTCCAGATACTGGTATAGAATAGCAATGCCTGAAGAAATACACACCGATTATTTTAAGCAAAAGAAAATAATTATTTCGTTATGTGAAAGCGGACGTCATCTACTTTATTTTAATATTAAAAATTATTTATGTTCTTTTCAAAAAGTTTTGCAGTACATAATTTATTGAAAAAGAGTCCCAAAATATCGGAATTTCACTACACTGGAATCTTGAAATAATGAGAAAATCGACCGAAAAATCGCCGGCCATTTTCTAGTTTATAGAAATTTCTCGACAAATTTCCAGCTTTCTAGGAAGTGTTGGTTTTCTACTTTATAGAAAATCGACTTGATTTTC